AAGTACATACTTTGTGTGGAGAAAGTTTGAAGTTCACTCCCTAGTATCATCCACAAGTGGATGTCAGGTAAGTATCTGCAAAATGTCCTATTGCTGCAGTGTCCCAGGAAAATGTGGAACGTTGTGTTCTTCCAGACAGCATTGATCTGACAGTCCCATGAATGGACTATGTCAGCCCCACTAAGTAGACCACACCAGGAAATCAATTCCACAGGAAGGCTAAAACTACAGGTAGTCCTTCCTTAATGACCACAATAGTGACCGGAAAATTGATCATTAAGGGGGGGTGGTAGTTAAGCGAGTCACCACGTGGCTGGACCTGATTTTACAACCATTTTTAAGATAGTTGTTAAATAAATCATTGTGGTCATTAAGCGAATTCAGTTTCCCAATGGACATTTTTTGCCAGAATTTGCTTAATGACCACATGATTTGCTTAATGACCATGGTGATTCACTTAATGACTATCATAAAAAAGGTTGCAAATCACAATCACGTGACATCGGGGGTGGTGTGACAGTTGCAATGGTCATAAGTGCAAGTACAGGTTGTAAAGCACTTTTTCCGAGACCATTGTAACTTTGAACCATTGTTAAACGAAGAATTGTTAAATGAGGACTACCGTACTTTTATTGAGATTGGCTATAATAGCAGAATCTTGCAAGTCTGTGATTTACCTCCCCTCCTCATGAGTCAAGGAGGTGTCTGCCTAAGTTGCTTCTGAATTTGCTCTGGACTTAAAAAATGCTTCAGCTTCTTTTGTGTAAGGGAAGTTTTCTTCATATTTCCGTCAAGGTCATTTTCCTTGCTTTCTAAGACTGGCAGTTTTATGGAAGAAAATCTTCTGGAATAGGAAACTTGCATTTCCTCTGTTCTGGGATATTTACTGCCAAAACTGGAAAAGCCAGATCAGCATGGCCTGGAGGTAGAACAGCACTTGCTGTATATTCCTGGAACACTGGGCAACTGAGAGTTTTGCAGATCCCTCAAGCAGGAGAGTTCAGCTAGGAACGAGGTCCTCATCTCAGATCTTAAGTTGCTAGTAGTTAAAGAAGGCCATGGGACAGATGAAGCTATATCTCAGGGCAAACATAGCAGCCCCGACAGCCGTACAATGCTCCATATGCCCACTAAATGATTGACAGCTGAGCATCAAATAATCGTTCTGTATCTTATTATTTTTTTAAAGGCAGAATCTGGAGGGAAGTAAATTAGGCATACGAATGGCTAGAGATGCTCATTTTATTATTTTTTATTTTTAAAAGGATGTATTCTTTTAACAAAAAGTAAAAAACAAAATCCTTGCTTATTCCCTTAGAAGACATATCAGTTCCTTCAGTCCTAAATCCATCCTTTTCCCCAGGAAGATTCATGAGAGGCGGGTCAAAATAGTCAAGATGGTGGTCATGACCCAAAAACTGGAGTCTGTACATGCATGTGACATTGGTGAAAGTACAAAAGGTGTAGGACTTTGATTTCATGATTGTGATCACCTTCTGGACTTTTTTTTTGTTGTTCCTTCAGACACCCCTGTCTTTCCCAACATGGTGTCCTTGAGAAATGTTCACCATGCAGAATGGAAATTGTAGAAATTGGGTGGAATTCAAAAGTTTCCAGCTTTAAGAATAGGGAAGATGTAAATAATTCAATAGAGACCACTAAAAAAATGACATTCTCAAAGCCACAAATCAGATGATGCAGGACAATACTGAACCAGTCTGGAAGGAATAGCAGCCTGACCAAATGCCTGATCAGATTGCACCAGAACTTTAAAAGGTACATTGCCAACTACTATACATCTGAGTCAAGAGGGTACTCATGAATTGGAATTGGGCTCTTTTGGACATGGCACTGCTAGTGACTCGCTAGCAGATGAGGAATCCACAGAGGACATCTCAAGATGTCTTGGGAGAAACGTCTGGGTTAGCCTGCTGATCTCCTTAAAATAATGATAGGAATCAGATTACTCACTTTGACCACTGATTTCCTGACACATAGCAATACATAAGTCTCCGCACATGGTATGGAAGCCAGCACACCACAAAGGCAATCACAACGGCACCTGTAATGGAGAGAAATATGCATTAGGTTAGTGATTTGCACACAACAGCATTTTTCCACCATCTTCTGGTCTGCCCTTGTTGCTATGGCTTACGTTCTGGTGGAAGGGGGAGGTGGGGAGTCTACACCATTTTAACATCAAGAGCTCTTATACAACAAGAGAACTATTCACTTCAAAGAAAGGGATGTAGATATTTGAAGAATATTTTTGGATAAAAAGGATTTAAATTTTGCTCCATTCAGATAGGTCTTAAGAAAACCAATCAGCTTCTCTGGGATGAATTTTCCATTCCCAGTAGAAATTTCTCAGTATCCATCTTTTTCCCTTACAAGTGTTACTATGCATACTTCCACTTGGAATCAGCTCTGATCTGATAAATCTCAGAAAGACATTTGTTTTGAGAGCTGATATGTTAATTATGTTTCTGCTCTAATTTACTGGGAATGGCAACAATGAAGTATTTTTCTCTGAATAACTGCAGCCTTATGAGTGGTCTGCTTTCTCATTAGAGAAAGGCTGAGTTGGACCTCAACTGTCCCCTAGGCCCAATCAGCCATGATACTTCATCTCTCCATCCTGTAGGGGTTCAGCATATTTCTCTCCCCCAATCTCCAATCCATACAACCATAGTTAGGCCATTGTGGAAAGTGCCTGTTTGCACAAAATAGTTGACACACTGTCTTCTTATCTTCACAATTCATAGGATCTTTTAAATGCAGCAGCTGAATGCCAGCTTTGTGGTTGGGAAGCTTCTCCTCATAGTTCTGCACTACTTCAGAGTCTTCAGATTATTGAAAACAGTAGGATCACTGGTATTTTTCTTTGAATTGTTGCAAGTCTGCAGATTTTGTAGGTGGTCCATTTTTCCAATGATAGGAACTCTTGCTTCATCCTGCCTTCCAGCTCCTGGGCATAACCATGAAGCTTTCTCCTTTTCCCTTGCACTCCATTCTTCCCTAGTCTTTTTCTGGAGCTTGTTTCTTCCTATTAGCATTGTTTCAAACTTATCTCCCCTCTCCCTCAATCCAGCTGCCATAACAATGTTCAAACATGGTTGCATGTTTAGAAAAGGCACACATTTGGAAAATTGCTGGCACACTAGCCTGGTATCTTCACAATTCACAAGGGCTTCTGAATGCAACAAGGTAGCTAGGGGAATTTGGAGGGTTTCAGTGTTTTTGATAACATTTTAAAATAATAAATCTTCCTAGTTTTTTCAGATTTTGCTTGCTCCTGGCCCTTTCTGTCTGATGCTTTGGATTGGTGTCCCCTTATCGTTTCTCCCTAAGCAATATTTATACTGCAAATATGGAGATTCAACAGAGTATCCTGATACCTCACTCAGGTCCACTGGAGTTGGGTGTCCAATAAATTTAAATAAATAAAATAAAATGTTGTTAGCAGCCAAGTCTGCTAGTGAAGGAATAATGGAGTTAGCTGCTCACTGTGTACACATTTACCCAACTTACAGTGTCTATACGGCAATAATTCAATCTGACTTTCATTCTTATCAGCATAATTGCTTTTTTTTACCACTGGTTTCTTTTTATGATTGAAGGCTACCTGCTCATCAGGAGTTCAGTCCGTGCCAGGGAGAAAACATAACACTATCAGAAGATTGTGTTGGCCCTTTGAAGCTTGTGTTGTGAAATGCAGCTGAAACCAATCTTATTTTCAATGGGTGCACAAATCCGTTTCATCATCTAATCTTTTAAATTGTCAATATGTCAGGAGCAACTGTCTCATTTTGTGGTAGTGAGGTGTTTGAAAGACTTCTGCAGTGGACCAGTCTGCTTGGTGCTCAAGGACATACACCTCTCTATTTTGGCTTCTCTTCTGATCTTTTTTATTAAAGCCAACACAGAAACGATCCAAAATGAACTGGCAGTGAAGAAAGAAGGTTTAGCTTTGTGACTTCATACTGCAGAATCTCCATTTCAAAACTCACTTTTGTTATCAGTGCTGAGATGTTTTAGGTCTACCCTAGTGTTTCCCAACCTTGACAACTTTGTGGTGTGTGGACTTCACTTCTAGAATTCTTAGCCCACGTACAATTTTTTTTAATGGAGTTCATACATAAACATTTCTTCTTAGAGGTAGAAGTCTTCTCTGTGTGCCCATGAATGTTCCTGCAAGCAAATATCTAACCTGAGCAAGGATTATTGAAGCAGGTTTTAAAACAATAATAGAAAGAGGAAATTTATTGAAAGGAAATGCACTATAGCCACAGGAAAAGTCTAGCACCTACTCTAGCTAACCCACCAGAAGTAGTCCAAGAGCATGTACTGTATGTATATGTCCCAAGGAAAAAGGGCAGAAGGAAGTGAGATTAGTCATCTTTTAGACAAAGATCAGGGAGAGGGGAAACAGAAGAAATAAGGACTTTCCATCTACGTTCCATTGACCCCTCACAGACAATAAGACATCAGGTGGAGAACAGTCAATGCCCTGAATTTATACTCCCAACAATTCTGAGCTATGAAGGCCTATAGAACTACATCTTCATAAAAGTTGGGGCTGAATGGTTGAGAAGTTGGAAGAGTTAAGGCAAAACATAGACATTCAGCCTGGCAAGAGATAATGAACCAACATTAGTTCTTATTTTCAAGAAAAATGCAAAGTTCTCCCAAATTTCTCAGAGAGAAAAGCAGTTTGTAAAACCAACCAACCAACCAACCAACCAACCAACCAAACAGAAAAGGGGGTCCAGGAATAATCAAAATAGTCTTTCACCAATATCCACACATTTCCAAAGCATTTGATGCAGTGAGCAAATCAGCACCACCACACCAAAATCATTGTCATCCAAATGTATTTAATTAGGGCTATAGCCATACAAAAATGTATAGTCGGAAGCTGTGAACATAAAATGGCCTTAAGTGCCTTATATGAGTGGTAGGAACAATTTTTAAACGATGTGCGTTTTAGGAAAAAGTACTGTATATGTTGGAGGGGGGAATGCATGTAAGAAATTGGTATTTTATGAGAAAAGACATGAAAATACATCTGCATTTTAAGTACAATTTTAACAATGCTGGATGTATCTACACAACATACCTAACCTGTTTACTAAGTAACTTATATTCTAGGCTTGCATAAAATATTGAATTATATATTATTTGCAACATGCTAATCCCAACCTTTTCATCTCCCAGAGCTAAAACTAAGCTTAGTATGCTATGTAAATGGATGTACTAGGTCTTTAAACAATTTGGTTAAAAGTGATGAGCAAATACAGTCATAAAGGGTTAGTTTGTAAAGGAATTACTGTATATACTCACAGGTAAGCCCATCCGTGGATCAGAAAACCCTCGAATTTTTAACCGAAATACCATGAAAAATGTGCGACCCATGGATAAGGCAATTATGAAAATTAAAACATGAAAATTTCAAGGGTTAGCTTATCTGCAGGTGGACTTATACACAAGTATATACAGGTACTTTTAAAAATTATTACCATATATATTCATCGATAAGTCCATCCACGGAGAAGCCAAACAGAAAAGTCAATTTTGGGGGTGTATTTTGGAACCTAAAATTCTCAGCTTATCTGCAAGTATATATGGTAAATAAATTATATAACTTTGATTGATGATGTGCTGTCAAGTCAGCGTTGACTCTTAGTGACCACACAGAGAGATTTTCTGCAGGAGGATCTGTCCCCAATCTGGTCCTTCAGGTCTTCCAACCATTGCTGCTGTAATTGAATCTGCATAACTTTGCTGGGAATTAATATGTCTGGTTTGGGCAAATGGGCAGCAGTGAGTTTAGAGGGTTGGGAGTGGAACCCACATCCACCTGTTGACTCTCTGTACCCTACAGGGTGCTCCAGTAGCAAGAAAGTGGTGCAATGCCTGGCTGCTGGTGATTATGTCATTGACTATATGCTGTGCAGATGTTCCATTTGCTGCTCCATCATGTCGCACGGAAGGTCTCCAGAGCTGCAGAGCTGATGAACTCTTCCAGTTTCCCCACTCTTTCCTAATACTTCCTGCATCTTCATGCCTTGTTTCACTGATTCTTTGGACAGTCCCATCTGTTAGTTTCTGGGTGCTTTTCTGCAGGTTTGTGCAGGCAAAGGTTCAACAGGACCTGCTGGTATATTCTTCTGCTAGAAAGTGTCTAGTTGAAATCAGAAGAGGGTTGAATCAGAAGAACCCTTTGGCAAAAAAGTCTGAGTCAAGATTAATCTTCTTCAATCATGTGTAATGAGAGTATAAAACCTACCCTACTTATTCACAGAGTAAATCCCGCTCTGTCATTTTCTCTTTAATAAACATGTTTGTAAACATGTTCTTATAAATAGCACCAGAGAAAATTTACAAAAAATTCACAGAAACCAATGTTTAGCATCAAGTGCAAAAACACTTTTGGACTTACACTGGAGATCATTCTCTTGTCTATGTTTAGCTCTCCATGGCTTCAAGGGCACATCCATACAGTTTGCTTAGCAACAAGGACATATAGCCACCTAATTCAGATACTTGTGGCTCTGCAAGGCATGCATCAAACAGGAAACAATGATTGCAAATATAAAACCATACAACATCAAAAGAAATGAAATCCATAACCAACATATCATATGACCTAGGGCTGGGGTCCACCAAACTCCAATAACTCCACCTCCCAGAAGATGGGATCATCTATCATCTATCATCCTGGCCCCAGTGCATCAGGAAAAAAAAAGTTTTGAAATCTGTTCAGAAGGCAAACACTTTCAGATCTACCCAAATCTCAGTGAAGAAATTGTGACAAAGGGCAGACGCTGCCACAGTAAAGGCACACCTCCTAGGTCCCATCAGACAATCTTGCCTCAAACAGGGGACCTGAAGCATGCCTCTCCTGTGAGAGCATGTGGGAGCGTGTGGAAGGCAAGCAGTCCCACAAATAACTGGATCCTATGTCCTGTAGGGATTTGTAAGTGATAACCAACACTTTGAATTGCACCAGGAAGCCTACTGGGAGCCCATAAAACTTGTGAAATAATGGTGTTCCCCAGGTGTACTGTGGTGTACCCATAACTATCCATATTGCTGCCTCCTGAACCACTTGCATCTTCTCAATAGTCTTCAAAGGCAGCCCCACGGAGAACGCACTGCAATATTCTTAGTCACTGGGAAGTGACTAAGGCATGAGTGACCATAAGCAGGGCCTCCCAAACCAAGAATGGATATAGTTGGTGCACAGGCTGGAGTTGTACAAAGGCCCTCCTGGACAAGGTTGCCACCTGCTTCTTGAGTAGGAGTCCTGAGGACCCCAAATTGTAAAACCAGTTCTGAGTGAGCGAGTACAACCCACACCAGATCCAATGGTGGAAAATCTCTAATTCTAGGTTCAGGATCCCAAAATTCACAGGCACTAAGTCTTGCCAGTCAAAGCCTATTCTCCCCATTCTAGGTCCCCACAGCTTCCAGATACCGAGAAAGGATCTTGAGAGCATCACTTAATTGGCCTGGGACAGAAATGTACAATTGAGTATAATCATCATACTGTTGATATTTCACTCCTGTAATTTGCTACTCCCTGGTATGTTTCTTTTTTGTTTTTAACTTCCCAGTCTAGTCCAACGTCCTAGGATTTTCTGATGGTTTCCCATCCATATCAGACCCCATTCAATTCTTTATAAGATGCTGCCACTTGTAATTCTTTTCTGTTGGTGAGCATTCTTGGTATTTGGCACTAGCCCCCTTACTTCCACTTGGAATAGAAGCTGGAGGACTGGTTTTGCTATAACTGTTGAAGTGTGAAACTTGCCAAAATAGCAACTACTGATTTAAATGACTGAACTCCAAATGGCACATTGCCATGAAAAATCCATCTCTCTATTTGAATTTTAGCCAGTTTTTTTTTGGTTTTTTTTTGTCCTGCGACATTGTCAATGCTCTCAATACTAAGTTTCAATGAAAGGCCTTAGCTATATTTTTTTTAAAAAATTATGTTTGGGCCCTGTTCACACTACATCATTAAGGTTTACAGGTCTGAGCTGTAGCCATTGAAATGGCCACCCAATGGCAGCAAAGAGATACAAAAAATCTAAAAAAAATTCTCTGCTCCTATCTGGGGGTCACCTGGAACTTTGCAATACAGATCTGGTGGCCCTACATCATACAGGTTTAGTCTTCAGACCAGTGTGTGAATTCCGCATGCAAAAATTAAGATGGTTTCATAATGAACAGAAAAAATATCAGTACAGATAGTACAATACAAGAAGATGAAAAAGTCATCTATACAGTGGTACCTCTACTTACGAACGCCCCTACTTATGAAATTTTCAAGATACGATCAGCTCCGGCACAAAAAATTGACCTCAATTTCCAAACGCGCCTCGACTTATGAGCCATTTTCCGCCCGTGCCACGTGGTCCGCGGCCATTTTCCGCCTGTTCCACGTGGTCCGTGGCCATTTCCCCACCCATTCCACGTGGTCTGCGGCCATTTTCCCGCCCATTCCACGTGGTCCGTGGCCATTTTTTCCGCCCTGTCGCGTGGTCAGCAGCCGTTTTTCCACCCCTGACGCGTGGTCCGCGGACGCTGGAATGGATTAATGGTAATTACATTGAACCTTATGGGAAAATTTACTTTGACTTGCGACCAACTCAACTTGCGATCAGATTCACGGAACGGATTAAGTCCGTAAATAGAGGTACCACTGTATAATTCCAATAATACATGATGATTTCCATGGTAGAAAAGGCAACAATGAATTCCCTGTAAAACCAACTAAATTTTATAACAGTTGCTAAAATGGCGGATCAGGACAGAGGAACGATGAAATGATATTATTTAACCTAATCTTGGTTTTACATTTTTTATTACGCCTTTCGCATGTCCTCTCTTCATAAGGCAGAACTGGATGGCTTGGAAGAGGTTTATGTGCTTATTTAGGGTTGCTGATATAATTAGGCACAATCTTATATTTTATTCATCCATCCATCCAAGTAGCCATGTCTCAGTAAATGAGTAATCAGTTAGTAGTATCTTTACGTTAATTTGTAATATTCCATGCAATCTCTGCTATCAGTGCTTTATAAATAGAGGAAGGCATGCCATTGGTTATATCTTAAATTTGCAGATAAGGAAAGAGTGACAGGTCAAGGGAGCAAGAAGAATTTGGTATCCTTGGATACATTATTTGGACAGTATTGTGCAGGCCCCACTGAAAATTGTGTTACCAATAGTTTCTTTTAGGTATCTTAAGATAATTTCATTAATAGATTACTATGTGGTTGGATTCCAGTTTTTTTTTTAATGAATCTACAGCTCTTTGAATTTTATGATGCAGTTCTTTGCTTAGAAAATGCATGTAATAATGCATACTATACTGTATTGGCAAATGTGTGCAAAATGCATATTTTGGGGAAAAGGACATATACCTTGTTGTATTTTGTGGGGAAAAAATCCATATAGATTGTCATGTCTTTTTTTTTTAAACTGAACCTAAGGAATGGTCCAATGGTGATTCTAGAAAATCTGGAATGAGGGAAAAGAAAGCCAGTTCAGGGCAGTGTTTTCTAGTTAGGTAAATATTTTTGCCCCTCTCACGTGCACACGTTGGAATAACTGCTGTCCTTTGATACCAACTCAGAAAGAACTTGTCCATAAATATTTAGGACTTGTAAATCAAAATAACAAAACATGTAAATCAATAAATAAAACCAGTAAGGGAGCAGCTTCATAACTACCTATAAATAAACAGCCAGATAAAGAGAATCTCTTCAGATATGGTGCATTATTTGGTTCTTATTTTGAATTTCCAGTGAGCAGACAGAAGGCAGGAGTTCTGTCTCTCTTTTCCAGAGTTCATGGAAAACAAGGATTATGATAGATTCCAGGGGTTGGGAACAGTGTTCAGAGGGCATGCTTTCTTCATTTATAATTAAAATACATAAACGATCCACTACCATATCCAGGTGTAGCATTAATACAAACTATAACCCAACCTGAACCCACCCTGAAAAGGATCCAGATGATTTGCTTCATCCAGGGTCCTCTGAGCTGAAAGCCAACCACACAGTCAACAACCACCCAGAGTCGCCTTATGTGAAATGGGCAGCTATATAAATATGATAAATAAATAAATAAACAAACAAACAAACAAACAAACAAACAAACCTTCCCTAGAAACTTATTCAATTCAGTTAGGTCCAAGGATGACACACCCTGCCTCCTACAAGGCAGATGGAACCAATCCCTCCCACAAACAGGCATTAATCACTGCTTGGACCCAACCACAGATGTCAGCCTTACAAGGGAGACCAGACAGGAAACATAACCCGAAGAGCTAATTCTACTTTACTGTAAAGCTAAATTAACAGAATCCCGCAAATCTGAAAGTACTTCTCTCCCCACCCCACTTTTACAGCCCCCAAACTAGGGACAGTCTCTTCTGAGCCTCTTGCCCCACCCATATTCCTGCTGTGGGCTCAGTTGCCTTTTATCTGACCATTCTCTTGGCTGCGTCTCTTTGTCCTGTCCCCCAAGGTCATTCCCACATACCATTACATCACCTCCCAGGAGCCTTGACCAAACAGGAGGGTCATGGGTCTAGAACACAGGTGGTTGAGCTCATAGCTTCAAGGACCGTGTCCATTTCCTCAGGACTGACCAGTTCAAATTCCTCCCAGATAGTTGGGAGTATTAGAAGTCTCTTCTCTAGAAGGAATAATAAATCATTTCCAAGCCACAAGTGCAAGACCTCACCTAAACAGATAAATTGGATATCAGATATGTGAACATTGCTTAAAATCAGAGGGATACATACGCAAAACCCGAACTCCATGCTTCAGGGTTTGAACACGTCCAGGTTCCATGGACATGCTAAGCATGGTTTGCTGTCCTCCAATTGTGCACACTTGGTTTTCTTGTGCTGCTTGCTTGAACATGATGATAAGTTGGTTGGCTATGATGGTGTTCAGGACGGAGATAACAGCCATTGGGAAAACGAAGGAGATGAAAACATTGACCTGGATGGGAAAGTAAGAGAGGGAATAGAGAAAGTTAGCATCCAAATGGGAGAGAAAGGACTAGAGGTGTTGGTGTTGGTGGGACCCACTCTTTCAAGTAACAGTGCTGTATTTCAAAGGTGATGCCACAAGGTCTGGAAGACAGATGTTCTTTCCAGAAACAGATGTTCTTTCCATAAGAATCCCTAGAATCCCAGAATTACAGCAGTTGCACTAGATTATTCTTGTCCCTCCAACTCTACTTCTATGGTTCATCATTGCTGGATTGAGTGATTTCTTGTGCTGCACCTCAACTGAAATATTTCTGGGGTGGCTTCTGAATGAATTAAGAAAGTCCGAAGTATTTCATTCACAAGGTAAGATAAAACACTATTGTACCCTGGCTGATCTTAAGAAACTAACCAGAGTTGGAATGTAGTAGAACTTGGATGAGAGACCACTAGGATACTTCTAGATTACAAGGTAGACTACAAAGTCAAACAAAACAAAACTCAGAAGAAAACAATGGCTAACCATTTCCATGGGGCTGCTCAGAAACCTGGATGAATGTGTCTGCGAAGTCGCAGGGAAATGAAAAAAGTCTTTTCTATTTGATGTCCACTGTTCATCTTGAGCAGTTTCTGGAGCCCCCAAACCTTGTCACAACTCACTGCATTGAATGCATAAATAAATAAATATAAAGGCTACAAAAACACACTATCATTAAATCAGTAAAACTTTACAATAAAACCTTGAAACATATTAAATGCCGCCATAAAACTGTACAATAAAACCCTGCAATAAAATGATGAATTTGACAGTCTAGAGAAAAAAAAACCATTTCCACTTGCTGCCCTGTGTTGAAAGTGAAGTGGCCTCCTTTGGGCAGCTGCTGGAGCCCTAGAATATTGCCAACACTCCCTGCATTAAGCACTAGAAAAAGAAACTGACAATAAAACACTATAATTAAATCACTGAAACACTACAATAAAGCATAACAACAAAATCAATAAATATCACAATAAAACTCTACAATAAACTAGTGAAGTTGAAAGGCTGGTGAAAAAGACTTTTCCTCTTGTTGTCCAGTATCCCAAGTGGGCATCGTTGTCCAGCTACTGGAGGTTCAGAACATTATAATGTTCCAATTCTGTTGACATCTGCTGTGGACATAAATGTCAGCCAGTTCAAAGCTTGTGGCTCCAAGACACCTGGTGGTGTTAGCTTCATCCTGGCTAGACCTATCTGTGTCAGAAGAAAGTCACTAGGATATGCCTCCATAGCTGACATATCTCAGGAAACAGAGAGAGTGGAAACTAAACTCAACTAAAAACAGGGAAAGGAGATAACTTCATAGACAACAAAAGAAAATAAAGACACGTGTAGGCAATGTTATGCAATACTATTGGTAAGTAAAGTTTTATCATACATAATCAACTGTTCTCTGGGAAAATGAGAGATGGAACATTATCCCACCACCACCTCCATGTCTAAGACCGTATGCTATCAGGAAAAGAACTGGTGAGAGAGGAGCTAACATCAGTGTGAAGTCAAATCTTAATGTAAGAACACAAGTATCATTTTGTGCTGTGGTGGTAGGATTTTATGTTTATCTATTTCCCCAGTAGACATAGATACCACTTCTGAGAGTTTAAACCTGGTTTTGTAATAGAGGCAATGTTAGCATGCAGTAGGCCGAAGTTCTTCATGGTTGGCTCCCTACCAACATGTAAGTGTTGTTGCTAGCTTCACAATGATAGTTTGCTTAGCCAAGGTACCATCAGTAGGAACTTTGAACTTGAAAGAGGAGTTAGCTGTCTGATCCAGAAAGATACAAGTGGTTAGCAGCATGGTGGAGCAACACAGTTTTTCTATCTGTGCTCTCTTTTTAAAACCTTGAGATTTTGGTCTATAAAACTCCTTGCCATACTGTTTAAGAATGTTCTTGGATGGTAATAAACCCACAGTAAAATTTAGTATCTCAGTAGGTTTGCTTCTATAGCACAGGGTGTAAGATTCCTATTATCACCGCAGACAAATTCATAAGATGATCAAAACTGAAATGTTTAGTGTTAAACTGAATGTAGCACCTGTCTGTCTGTTGTGGTGCCTGCCTTCTGGAAAGATGTCCACCCAGAGATCTGTGTTGTCCCCACCCTGATTATGCCCTGGAAGGCCTTAAAAATATGGCTGGTTTACCAGACTTTGGGGGAGAGTTGTGGAGCCCTCTAGGTGAGGGTTCTCCATTTTCTTGTTTGTTCTTGTTTCTCTCCTGTTTTTACTTGATGTAAGCTACCCAGAATCATTTTGGAGTTGTGAGCTTCTCAGTCTCAGAAATACATAAACAAATATATTTTAGCTGTATAGAGAATTATTTATATCAGGCAACACAGGTTTGTTGAAGCCAGGCATTAAGAAATCTTTTGACCACAGGTGTAACTTTGAGATTATCTTGTGGGATCTGTCACAAAACACGGCCAAGGTAGAATTGCCCAGTTTTACAATGCTCATTTACCAAAAGAGAAATTAGTAAACTGTTCCTACTCCCCATCATTCTCATGGAATGCTTCCTATGACAAATTCTAAGAATGTCTGAGAGCTAAGAAGCATTCTTGGAAATAAAGATGATGCTAGAAGCTCATGCTTTATGGCATACTTACTTCTGTTTCTCTTTAAATGAGTAAGTAAAGTTAATTTTAATCCAAGATAAGACTTCTGGGGATTTCATAGACACATCAGTGCAGGTGTACACATGTCAAGATAACATTATAAGGACAAAATGTTTTAAAGTGGCTCAGATTTCACAAGTTTGATCCTGTCACCCCAAATCTCAAGTTTTCGATTGGAGCAGACCTCCAATCTAACTGGAGAATCTAATGAAATTTCAGGCATTTCTGATGCATTTCTTAAAAGTCTTTACTAAGGTTGGAGGCCCTGTGGACATCGCTTAGAGGGGTCTTACACACATGATGACAAGAGACACTATATTGCCAACCCACACATTTCTGAAGGTGATGTAGTGAACCTTCTAAAGGAGAAGGCTGAGAAATCCTGCCCTGAACTTACATCCTGTTGATCACCCTTAAAGGTGCTATTCTTCTTGCCTTCTTGATTGCATTCTAATCTTGTTCAGGAGTTACATAAGCAAAAGTAAATAATTTCTTCATAAGCATCTAGGGTAACCATTTATACCTTAAATTAACTTGATTGGGAGTGGAGATGAGCATGTTGCATGAACTCACTAGCCTACATAATTAATCTGGGGATCTTAGTGCTTACTCTGAAACAACCAAGTGTCATGTTCTTCATACAGGCTAGGGAATTAGGTGGAATTTCAACATTTCTTCACTGTTCAGACTATGGGAAGATTCTTTTTTTTTTCCTTTATAGCATTCTTTTGATCCGTAATAGTTTGAAACTTCTCTGGTATCTTTTTGGAGATTCTGGCAGAGAATGCTTCATTTCTAATAGACCATCTACACTTGGTGCTTGTCCAGCATGTTGTATTTTCTTTTTGATTTTTTTTCTTTTTCATGTTTCATTTTTTACTCATTTGTAAGCTGCTATATGACTGGGCAGAGGATCTCCAACTAGAGATACTCTGGTTTCTTGTCAGATTGCATAAATGTTTCATCTTTTACTAAAAAGAAATGAAAAGAATTGGGAGAGGGTAAGCCACTAACTTAGTGTTAGGGCCAACTCCCATTTGACCACTGCAGATTTTTTTTAAATGGTTCTTATGGAGGTTGGAAACCAGGATAGACAGTCTCTTAGCTTTTTGTGATAGTTGGAAGGACTTAGAAGATGGTTTGCTTCCCAGTTGACTGGGCTCACCAGAACTTATATGTTGCTACTGCATGGAACTGAGTCACCTATCCAGAGAAATGGCCATCTTTGTCACCTGCATTGTCCAAAGGCTGCCATAAGTCAACCTATTTACTGCTCTTGCTAAAGAAAAAGAACCCTTCCCATCAAAAACTTCATAAATTATTCTTCAGAACTTAGCAACAGCAGCAAGAGTTCTAATTGCGTAAAAGGAATGCAACTCACATATTCATCTTTAAAGGAATATACTATCAAAGCTGGGAGATTGACAAAAAATGTCAAAACTCTCTGTATTTTGTTTGTCTAAAAGATGACAGACTACATCTTGAGAGTTCTTGGATTAGTAGTGTTCCTTCTCCTCAGCAGGAGGAGAAAATGTCATTTGAAGTTTGACATGTGCAAAAATTTCATTGGACTGCAATGTTTAAAAATGTATTTCTGTACTCTTTATTTTCCAAATGTAGGGGAGGGAGGAAAAGAAATAAAAAGTAAGTAAGTCTTGATAGAGTACATGCAGGCCTAGAAAAACTCATTGATTGATTGATTATATGCCATATGTCAACATAAGCTCCCCAATTATAAACCTCTAGGCTCTACATTGATTTTACTGGATGAGACTAGCAGGATTCTTTCATAACATACTTAATCAAGTCTGAGAATGATCTACCAGATGTATTGGAACAATATTTGCTTGTTCAGTGCTAGATTTTTTTTTCTTAGACCAGGCCTGCTCAGTTAGTTCAATATATTGCTCCATCCCAGAAAACTAGATAATTGAACAACCCAGTTGAATATGTTCTGTGAACACAGCCACAAAGTGATCTGATGTATCTATTTGGAAGTAACCTTCACTCACCTTGATGACTCCTACTCACTTCTACTCCGTCCCATGTACAGAATATTCTCACATGAATCTATCTGGAATTACGCTGTACATGGGATGTTTTGGAGTGGCTACATGTAGGATTGTACTATAAAAATGATTTGGGCATTTTATGAATTTAGTAGTATGCCTGTATAGTAACAATACTGGTGCTGGTATGTTCAAGACTCTTTATGCATAATTCATTTCAGCATAACTTGAAACTGCACTGCAAAGTCAATAGGTTAGTGTTATTATGCCCATAAATAAGACTATTTAGAGAGAGTTTAAATGCCCAGAGCTAAACATTCATGAAGCACTTTGCTTAAATACA